ACCAAGCCTCTGACTGACACTTGTCAGGGCTGATGATGGAGAGGGTGATGCTTTGGGGAAAGAAGGGCCCCCAGAAGGAACAATCAGCCCATGAATAATCTAGCCCCCCCCCCCCACCATCCCCCAAATTAGGCGCAGGGTGGCATCACTGGGGATCAGGCTGATTCTCTCACTGGCTGTCATCCTTTTTTCAGACACACAAAGAAAGAGACACAAGTAACATCTTCTTTCTCCTTTGCCCTGTGTGTGTGTGTGTGTGTGTGTGTGTGTGTGTGTTTTGTTCTTCGGCCATGTGGGACGCAGGATCAAAACATTGCCTCTCTGAACATCTTACCTCGGCATACAGTTTCAATGATTAACCCGCAAGAGGGTGTCGCGGGGCGTGTGTGTGTGTGTGTGTGTGTGTGTGTGTGTGTGTGTGTGTGTTTTGTTCTTCGGCCATGTGGGACGCAGCATGGTGTGTATCGATTTCTCCCCTCTAAGGAGATCAGGGGACAAACCAGGCCTGTGAAGGATCTGACTGAGTCTTTCTCAGCCAAATCCAGCTATCTGTGTTTTTCAGATGGTTTCGTTGGTATGGCAACCTGCTCCGTGTGTGCTTTCTAGATGCTTCTTAAGGGGTTTAGGGCCTGGTGCCCAGCTGTAGTTAACCAAATAAAATGCTGACAATAGTGACACATCGTCTGGTGTGTTTAGAAGGATATTCATCAGACAGATTTTTTCATTTTTAATGATGGGGCCCCATGACCCTACATAGGACTAGGAGGTATGGATGGATGGATGGAAAAAAATCCATTTGATGGTATTCAGTGATCATCTGTGAAATGGACAGATTGAAAATCCAGGCCCAGTAGATATTTGCCTCTTCTGCTTAGTCCTGGTTGCAGTTAATTCCTGCTGATAAAGGGACTAAAAGGCACAGCCTGACCCATGACAAGGAAAATGCAAAGTTCTATAAAACGGACGCTGGGTACGTAGCATTGTGCTCTGTGAGCCTGAGCGATAGGGCTGTCAAGCATTTGAAGATTTACGGGCAGTACAGTAAAAGATCAAGTCATTAAATCTGAACACTGACCGTAAAAATACTTAAATGCCCACACATCTCCTGTGCCTCCATGCCGGTAAGAACCATCATTCAAGGTAGGAAGCCGTGATGAGTGATGTCAACCACCGGGGCGGTGCTGTCAGGGGTATTCATCACGCCTGGCAGCTGAGACAGGATCATCGGAACAGAGACCGCGTAATGGGACGTGACCGACCCCACCCGGCGCGCTAACGAGCGGAAAAAGGACAGGGGGAACAAATGGTAGCACTTTGTTTATATTAAGGAAAGTCTGGGACCAAGGATCTGGGATGAGGATGTCTAACGTGGTGGGGGAACACAGGTGGGGGGCTGGAGGGTGCTGGATACACGGACCAAATACCCCACCCTGCTGTGACACCCCTCCCACCTTCACTTTGCTCTAGCTCAGCTTCGAATTTGGTGTCTGTTTTTTTTCTTTGGGTCGTCTGTACTCTCAGAAAAAAGGATCAAATTTGTTCCTTTGCTTGTCACTGCTGCCGTAACCTCCAGGGTCTGCCAATTCTACCCTAGCTGTAGGTAACTGCACTTTTTGAAGGTACAGAAATGGACTCTGGGGAACATTTCTGTACCATTGATGGTACATTAATGCTGTTTGTACCTTTGGGATGTTCCACAGAGTCCATTTCTGTACCGTAAACGGTTCAATTACAAGGGTACAGCCCCAGTGACAAGCAAAGGTGCACGTTTGACCTTTTTTTTCTGAGCGTGTACAAGGTCTGTGAAAATGCATGATGTCAAAAGAGGAGACTGAGCAACAGCCTTCAGAATAGCACCAAGGTCGCCCGTGATCAGCACCAAGGTCGCCCGTGATCAGCACCAAGGTCACCCGTGAGCAGCACCAAGGTCGCTCGTGAGCAGCAGCAAGGTAACCCGTGATCAGCACCAAGGTCGCGCGTGAGCAGCAGCAAGGTCACCCGTGATCAGCACCAAGGTTGCCCGTGAGCAGCAGCAAGGTCGCCCGTGAGCAGCAGCAAGGTCGCCCGTGAGCAGCAGCAAGGTCGCCCGTGAGCAGCACCAAGGTCACACTTATGCAGCTTAGAACTGAAAAAGAGCAGGATTACATTGAGCTAAAGCTGCATGTTCTCCTTGAATCCTCCAGGTATTCTGATCAGCCCAAAGACATGCAATTAAGCTAAAATGTTTCTCTAAATTGTTTGAGTGTGATTATATCACCTGTGATGGACTGGTGTTTCCCAGCCCTGTGCTGCCTGGGATCAGTCCCCCCCCCCACCCATTTAGAGACTGGGTGGTGGCTGCATACCTGTATGGGCATAACATCCACCTACTTGCTTCTTAACCAGCTAGAATCTCTTAATGAAGTCAGGCATTCCGGTGTTCCCTAACAGCGGGAGGTGCTGTGCGTCGGGCCCATACAGCACGCATAATGGGCTCTTAATTAGTCATCCGTCACGTAATTAACAGATGGGTGCCTCTTGAGAGAGGGGCCTCTTTTCAGAATGGTGTGTTGTCTTCTAAGGGGCTCTAAGAGGGACATGGTAGGGGGTGTAAGTGTATGTTTAAAGCGGGGATACCAGATGATTTCCTGGAGGCTGTGGTGTTTTTTTGGTTCTCTGTAATTTAGTCCTATAAGAGTACTGTACTAAATCAATACCAGGTAACATCCTCATCCTAATTTCCCACATCTTCTCCTGAGGGTCATGGTAGAGAAGAGCATCATAATACTCATTCATATGTTAAAGAAACACGTGACATAGGAGCTGTTCGTTACTGGGATCCAAGAAATAGAATTAGACTTCAGAACCAGACAGTTTTTACCGCTGAGTGGAGCGACCCAGCCTAGGGGGAGGGGGCTCTTAAAGACTAGCTGGCACACAGGCCTGCGGGAGCCGGGGCGTCCCGGATTATGCAGGGGGGGGGGGCGAATTAGTTGCTGTTGCTTGCTTCACTCCATGTACTTCTGCAGGTCCCAAGCGAGGTTCTAGCCCTCTTTTAGCCCTCGTTGAGGGGGAGGAACTCCACCACGGAAATGGGGGTCTGGGGAAAGGGACTGGAGCCTGGTGCCTGGTCAGGAGGCCAGACTGGGCGGCACACAGCCTGGATCAGGAAGCCTGGGACCAGGCCGGGACCACCAGGGCTATGCACATCTACTCCAGGCTCCAGGAGGCTGGGACAACTAAACCCAAGCCTGGACAGGCCCCCCCCAGGTTTGAGGACTGTGAGTAGCACCTCCCTCTGTGTGCCGTGCGTCTGTGTCTGTGCCTACCTGTGTGTGCAGTGCGTCTGTGTCTGTGCCTACCTGTGTGTGCAGTGCNGTGCGTCTGTGTCTGTGCCTACCTGTGTGTGCAGTGCGTCTGTGTCTGTGCCTACCTGTGTGTGCAGTGCCTTTGTGTCTGTGCCTACCTGTGTGTGCAGTGCCTCTGTGTCTGTGCCTACTTGTGTGTTAGTGCTGAACACCATAACTGAACCCTGACCCTCCAGGAAGGACAGAGAGAACATCAACCTTCCACACGGTTGGGGCAAATCTACTCTTCAATCTTCTGAGGGAAATTGAAATTCCAGGTGCTTCACTGCCATAAGACATTAACAAAATCTTTAATTCAATATGAATGAAGCCCAACTAAAACACATGAACAGAGATCTTTACATTAAAGCACAAGAGCCCTGTGCAGTCTGTGACGCACAGGCAGTTCTTCACTGACGTAAGCCACCTGTTCCACCAACCCTTATGTAAGTGAAATTTTCCGTCAGTCGAATTTACCTTCCTATTCCATTCAAGACACCTTATGGGGAAAAACACGTAACCCAAAAGTGTAGGCAGTCCCCAGGATACGTACAAGATTTACATTCCCTAAATCTGTTGAATAAACCGGTTTGTAGGAAAAATAATTATTCAGTACATAATAATAAGAATTATAAAGTAATAATCAAAGTAACTTGCGGTAATTTGTGGACATAATGGCGACAAACCGCTGAAGCCGCGTAATGTTTTCACGAGCATCACAAAGCGGTGTTTGCGTTCGTTATTACAACCATTGTGTTTTACCAGATTTTTTAATATAATAGTCTTTATGGCAGTCTGTAAGTACGAGTTGTCTGTAAGCGGACGTTCTTAACGCGGGACTGCCTATATACTAGTAACATGAAGTATTGAAGAATGATGCTCTTTTGCATTAATGCTGAACTCTGTATATTTCAGATACTTTTTGCGTAAGTCTTGATTTACTTAAGTCAGTTTGACTTAAGTTGAGAACAGCAGGTACTTTTATGCAGCTCTGAGAAAATCTGCTTCCATGTCTTATTAGCATCATCTGAGCTGTATGCTGCTGGACATTTTGGACCCCATGAAAGTATATCAAACTGGGCCACCAATCCTGACCATGACAGAGGCCCGTGGAATCATCCAAACTTTCCTTCCCTTATTCCTCACATAGACACAGACACACACACACGCGCTGTGATTCATCCAAGACACAGAAACTGGACAGCTTCAAAGAAGTACAGATGCTCAGGCCGCATTCACACAGTGGTGATGCAGTGCTGCACTGCCTCACTGTGGATGTGTGACGTGTCCCTGGTTTGGACGTCTGTGCCTCCTTGTTAGACACTGAAAGGCGTTAATTGGCCTTAATTGGCATCTTCCACTTCCGTGCCGGGCGCCCGTCAGAGGAGCTGGACGGGGGCACCCGAATACAGCGGCCCTTATTCAGCCTCCTCTTCGTCCCCCCCCCCCCCCCCCCCCCCCCCC